CACACCGCTTCCCGTTCCACATGACTCTAGATTCCTTCTTCTCGCTTTTCCAAATTCTCCTGTAATTCTACATTGAGAAGTCTGCTTCTGAGAAGAACCTAAACTTTAGACATATATCTGTTAGTGAATCTGACATTGTAAACCACTAACAATTACACAGTGATTCCAGATCTTGTGAAATATTTGAGAAAATAATATTATTTGATAACTTGCACATCCTGAGCTGATTAAGACTCAGTAAAACATGCATTGTCTCAGACTGTATTATGACCCCACTGGTTCTACTGCCACTGGCTGACAGAGAGAAGGGAGGTTGTGATTTGCTCTGTATATATAATAAGGCATTGGGCTTGGCACTAGTTACACATTCAACCCAGTCTCTGAGCACACCATTCAGCTCTAAGCCTCTGAAAAGAAGCCTGGTGTTCGTTTTTTATTGCCTATCCAAGCTAGGCTACATTTATTATCTAACTCATGTACTAAACCCTCCATTCTATGTATATATACACAAGTCAAGGAATTAAGTTCCCTGTCAGACATACACTTACCCCAACTGGAATAAAACCAAGGCTTGTAGTATTGATAGCATCTCATCTTGTTAAAATAGTTAAATATGATCAGGATTTATTCACACTATAAACTGAATTTCACTATAATCCCCTTCACTGATTTGATTTTGTTTGCAAGAACAGATAGCAATTAAAAGAGCTGTTAGCTTAGTAGTGAGTATTTTTCCATCCTCCATGTGACTCTTCAGCATCTGTGTTCCTGTGAGCAATTATGTGATTAAATTCATCATGTCTCTAAAGATAATCTCCTGATTTCTGCTTTCTTATTTCCTCAGAAGAAAAATATTCCTGTCTGTAACCTGATAATCGTAAAAGTGAGTGTATTCAGTAAATCCATTTTTAAGAAATTTGCTAGGATGAACCAAATAGATTATCAAAATGCTACCATTTCAGGCTCTGCAGGAGAAAAGGAAATGTTCTGTATATCTGAATTGTAAGAAAACCCAACAATAAGAGCCACATGGAGTGAAAAACAAACATTTTTCAGAGGAGAAACACTTGGAGTAGGATCTGTTACATCAGTCCTGGTATATAGCAGTGCATACACATACTGTTCATAAAAGATGATTTAAGAAAAGTCTTAGATCTTTGTTTGGAAGAGATAAATGGTAGCTCCGGAAAAGATGAAAGCGTTTACAAGCTCTTCTCACAGTCTTTCTTAAAAACGATCAGTTGTAATAGCAGGGGCCTAACATAACTAGTACTAATGAGAAAGGGTAAGATCTTCACCTAGAAGAGGAAAAATAAAGATCAGTGAGTTTTCACATCAGCTGGACCTGATGAACTTTGTCATCCTAGGGCTTTTAAAGTAGTAAGAGGCAATCCCGTGGCTTATAATGCTTCTCTTTAAATACTAGCAGAAAAGTATACTAAGTAAAAAGAAAAAATAAAGAAACAGTTCCTATTTGAAGAAAAGTTGAAACAGCAGCTGAAAAGTTATAAATTAAGAGGGATGACTTAACTCATTGAGAATATAGTGAAACACTTCCAAGCAAACCATACATAAAAACACAGAAGAACCCAAAGTTATTACAAACAGCATAGGTTAATTGAGAACAAATTCTGTCAATACAATCTAATTTCCTTCTGTGAAAGGTAACAGGCTGTTGCATGGAGAACAGCAGTAAGCATCATACCTTCAGTAATGCTTTGGCTATTATCTCAAACAGCATACTCAGAAAGAAGTGTTCTCTAGATGAAACTGCTTTTGGATGAGAGAAAGCTGTTTGGAAAGGATTACATTGCAATCTCCAATGATCCTCAGTGAAAGATCAAGCACCTGCCTAACTGGGTTCTGCCATAATCTGTCCCAGACGAGAGCTACTTGCTGTGCTTATGAAGTCTATAACTGCTAGCAAATGAGAGAGACTACAAGTGTGTAGGATGAACAGGAAAAACAGTGAAAACAAATGCAGTTCACTTGGGATACGTGCTACACTGCTTCAAGTAGAATAAAATAAAATACACGGAATTACCAATAGAGCAACACTAAAGCTGAACCTGAGAGTCTCAGTAGCTCAGAAGGTGGTCATGAGTCAGCATAGTAATAGTCACAATAAGTGGAAAATGGAAGATGAAGTTTAGATGAAAGTAAGGTCTAGAAAATAAATATGAAGTGACTTTTCACTTTTGTGATAGAATATGCTTTTGGGCCCCCATTTTGGAAGATACTCTTCAGGAAAGCTGTAGCTGAGATTAAGACAATCCAGAGGAGGACTACACAAAGGATCTTTTATTCTCTGAATGAACAAACTGTGACTGCATTGATCAAAGCACTGAAAAGTGGGAAAGCAGTGAAATCCTACCTAAGACAAACAGGAAAAAGAAATAAAGCCCTAAACAGAAGTTTAAAAAAGTTAAGATTCTATATTAGAAAAATCTTTCCAGTGGTAAAAACAGCAACCCTCAAAAACAGCTACAGTTAGCAAGGACTTTCTCAGACACAACAACTGTAGGCACAGAAACAACGGAAAGAATCTGCTTACCTTCAGAAGGCCTCAGGTAGGCAGGAATCTCCAGCAAGAAACCCTTACCTGCTCTGCCAACACTTAAATGAGGGCTGGGAAGGGCTGCATCCTGGCTCCACCCCTTCCAGTCACTCAGGTGCACTCAGTGCATGAGCTCCCCTGGGTTGGCCCTGCCTTCCCACCAGGTGCTCAATCACTGCTTCAAGCCATAACTTAGCATTTCTGCTACTCCTACTCTTATTTATAAAAGCAGTATGTAAGAACTTTGTAATCTCTCATTTCCAATTTAAAACTTTCTGTACACTACGATGTACTGGTTTAACAAAACAGATTTTCTTCTGCTATATTTGTAAAAGGATTTATTTTCTTTTAGAAAATCAGAAACCTATTTGCTGTGAAATGCTGCTTATGCTGTGTTTCTTTCTGTCTTATTTGATTGCTTCATAAATAGTCTATTAATCTGAGATTTTCCCACTAAATACTCTAGGCAAGTCTTCTACTAAATGGAAAGGAATGGGGGGTCTCAGATTAAACTCAATGCATGTGTGTGGAGTGATTCCAACAGAGATTCCCTCCATAAATATTCTACTGGACCATAGAAGACGTCTTTTTTAGAAAGCTAAAGAATAAGGAAAAGTTCAGGTGTTGAGTTATGACTCTCATTTTACTTCATTGAAATGTATGTTGTTCATTTCACAAGCTATTCAGTGTTGGTTTTGAAGCCACCAAATTAGACTATCTGAGCTTTCCATTTTTTCACATTCCATGTTAAAGTTATCGCTGACAGTTTAATGTAACTGCTTTCCATACACTCTTCCCCTCCAAAATGATAAAGTATTATATAAAATTTAAATCAGAGTTGATGGGGGAAAAGATGTGCAAATTGACTGTTGCACTGCATAGGATTTTGTCTTTTGTTGGACTTCTTATCTTCTTTAAAAGTAAATAAAATGAATGTTTACAATCTAATTGGGAGGATAAGCTCAGGCAACTGAAGGAAATGCTGTGCTACTAATCAAGGTTCTTGCCTTTCCTCTAACTACTATTCAATCTATAATCCTGAAGAAAAAAAATAGCTTCCAAGCAATCATGTCTCATTGGGTGAAATAAAAAATAAAATGAATATATCTGTGTATCTATATTCACTCTGACTTGGGTTGGGTTAGAAGTATGAGTGAAGCACATTCTGAGCACAGCTAGATCTGAGAAATGACACAGGCAACCTACTGCCACCATAGCTAACAACTCAGTGTGCAATTAATGTGATGAAAATTTACAAAGCTGGATAGAATAACATTAACAAGAAAAACTTTGTTTCAGTAACCCTGGTGCCTCTTAGCACTGAAGACTTCTTACTGCCCATTGCTGCTTCAAACAGGAAATCTCTCTTGTAATTACAAAAATTGACTGACCTTCTTTGAGAAATAATATGCATGATAAAATGGAAAAGAATATGTTCTGGCTAGATAACAGCTTGTTGTCAGTCTTATGCTATTTTGGGAATCACACTTCCTAAAGTATAATTCAAGCCAAAGTATTGGCTTCTGTCAAGGATAAAGTTGTGTGTAGGTTTATAAGGACTTCATGTTTTTCAACAGGACTTCAAAAGACTGCTTTTGTAAAGCTACTCAAATCAAAATTGTAGTAATTAAGTAGTTAAATAATACTGTACTGAAGAATATTTCAAGTGCCTTTGTATAGTATTTAGTTTTAATTCAGCAAGGTAGTAAAACATTGGTTAGTTGCTAGTATATGCTTCAGGATATACAAACACAGCTTGCTGAAGTAAAACCTAAAATACCAATAATAAATTTCTGGGCCAGATTTTCAAAAGCAGATTTCCGTTTAGTGGCTTACCAAATGTGTTTATTGCTAAGAGCTAGGGCATAACACTTTGGAAGAATTTCAGCATCTTTGCGTATCTCCAAGCCACTACAGTCCCTTCTGCTGGCAGACAAGATTTTCTGTGAGCAAGAAAATCAGTGAGAGGCCTGCATCTTTTAATTTATATCCATTGTCTCTCCAAAAGCTCGCCTACACAATCACAAAATATTGTTTCCCTCTCCATGTGTTCTAATACATCCTCAGCCAGCCTTCGCATACAGATTTATCAGTTGTCACTCTGCTAGTGTGTGATGGTACCTCTGTGTCCCTCAGGGATGGCACTAATGCAGATTTTCTCCTCTGCACAACCTTCAGATTTATTGTAATTTAATTATGACTGAGAGTACCACATTTTTGTAAAATTTGGCTAAAATTGTCAATGGATGTAAAACATCTTTAGGGAGATAGTACTGTTATTACTAATATGATAGTATAAATCTCATCTATAAATCTCATTTTCATAAGAAACAAAGCTATACAGAAAATGACTGTCACCCTGACAGAAGCACACTTTCAGGAGAGAGAAGGTCCTTTATCGGAATAAGTTTGTAGAAGTAGCAATACTTAACCAATAGCCTGTAGGTCTTCAATAGCTGTAAGAAACTAAGAATCTGCTTTAGCATGGAGCTCTGGGTAAATGGAAAACAAGTAATCACAGGGTTTTGGTGAGGAAAGGGAAGAAGTAAGGGTGTGGGAAGAGAGCACAGGCAACAAGCAAGGTAAGTAGTGTTCACTGTGATTTATTATATCGAGCATTTGATTGTAGAGAATATCTTCTCAACAGACTGAACCATTGTGATTATAACTTCTCTGAATCCAGTAGGTAGGAATTCAGCTGATTCTCCCTTCTCTCATAAGTCAAATCCAGAATGGATCAATAGCCTTTCTTGGCTGAGAATATCCAGTGACTGAAGTCTCAAAGAGAGCATTCTTACCATCTTGTCTAACAAATTCCAGAGATGGTGACCTGCAGGGTGTAAGAGGTTTCTGCTGTCTGTAGTTTTTCCAGAGGCGCTGACAAAAGACAGATGGAAGGGAAAAATCAAGTGTGCACCGTGGGAAGGACTGGTGAAGATTTTCTGGATCCAACTCATGTTCTTTGTCTTATCTTCTTTTCTTTCTTGGACAGTGGTAGAATAGATGTATAGATGTAAATCTTATAGATGTAAATAGATGTAATATAGATGTAAAAATCCCTAAAAATGTGTGATCAGACCTGAATTTCTTTGAGAGATTGTCTGATACTAACAAGTCTTATTGAAGATCTGAAAAAAAAGCAAGTGCCTGTTTCTCGATATTTCAACTAAACTCCTCAAAAAATGGTTTATGTCTTACCTACTAACTTACTTTCTAAACTCAACTTGACTTTAATTTTTATTGCTTAACAGCCTTATGACATATTTTCATTAACCCCCTGGCTGACCCAAGCCACACGTTAATGCATCTCTTCCTCATCAGCTTCACAGGAAATTATATTTTTTCCTTACGTGGTTTGATGCATTATGCCAAGGGCTCTCACAAGCAATTTCAATCTATGTTTCAAGTTTATTTTGTGAGTATAATGGAAGTCAAAGCACTTGAACTCTACTATTAGATGTATTCAGTGTACAACCAGTGATTTTCCTTCCTTAGTTCCTCAGTCTGCTGATTTTGTACAGGGGAAATATTTTCCTGCTTCACAAAGGGCCTGAGAGGCTTCTAAAGGTGCAAGAGCTCATGAAAGAAGATTCACTGGGAAGGTCCAGCTGTGTGAAATGCTATTCTCTTATATGAGGATTCACAAAAGCAAGGTGAAGCAAAAATGTTAAAGAGCCCCTCAGCAGTGTGGATACTTCTCTTTTCTAAGCGATCCCCAAATTCTTTTTTAATACACCTCACATTTTCTTTTTTGTTACTTTGGATCAAATGCAAAGCATCACACTGATGAGCAGTAAAAAGTAATCTTGTCTCCTACTAAAATTAAAAAGAAGAAAAATGTTTGAGGCTGGAGCTACCATCTGATCGGTTTTTTTCCATGCAAATGGCAGAAAATGAACTAGAATTAGTAAAAGTGAAATAATGAAATTTTCCAATAATATATTCTGTTTTGGGATATGTTTTGTACTAACTCTATGACTACACAAATTGGGATAATCCAACATCACTGGGATTTTCTGACTTGAACAGACTAGGTCTAAAGAACAGTGCTGACAGTTCAGCCTGAAGGTCTCAGTACATTCAGCCAGTGCTAATAATGGTTCTACAAACATTTCTTAGACCTTCCTAACCTTGAATCAATAACGTATTTCTTTGATTCATTTATTTTAAAAATGTTAGTTATATTCAGGAGAAAAATTTGTACTTCATTTTTACTGAAGTGATTATTTCCTAATTGCTTACAACTGTGCTTTACATACAAGATCTCCATTCTGGAGGCAAGATTTTTGCAGGACTCATTTGTAATTGGCAGCTGATTCTCTTTGCATATAATATAAGCAACATTGAGCTACGAAAAATATTAAAATTGCTCCCAGCTGCAAGCACGTGTCTGGAAACTGTTTCCAAATATATTTTGGAGGTTTACACATGTCTTGTAACATTGCTCCAGAATGTCACTGTAGTCTAGCTCACATCCAAATGGTTTTGCAGAAGAGGTTTTATATTCCCTCTCAAGTTGGACACATGCCCGAATACACCCATGTGTAGGGTGCAGTAGGATGAGGTCTGCTTTCAGTAATACCAACTGCCAGTAAACTCAAGAGGCCTATTAAAAATAGATACAGTTAATAAAAGCAGTGCAGCCACACATTTTCCTGGCAGGGTAAAAAAGAGGTGCAGTGGAGCTAAATAAATTGCAAAATTAAAAGGATTCCCTCTGCTGTGTAAATCACACCATAGCCATCAAAAGTTACACCATCAAGAGGGGCTGCATTGCAGCCATATTTTAGCTACAAGTAACACTGTACCTCATTGAGTAATGACAGAAACCCCAAAAAACCTTTTTCTAGTTTCAAAATATAGTAATTTCAATGACACATTCAGAAAGCCTTGGTAGGCTAATGAGCTTGTGTTTGTCCACTCTTACTGTGGTCCTCCAATCTAATTCTTACTTTAGTTTAAAATTAGGTCTTCTGATAAATGGAAGGTTTGGGGAAATTAAAGGAAAGACTGACATTTTTCATTTCAGATCGCTGGGAATAAAGATGTTGCAATTATTTGATGACCCAGATGAGGAGAAGAGACAGAGGAATCAACTTTCACTGAGTGAGTAAAAATCCATAAATTTGTATTTCAGAGTTTTCCCTAGTTGCAACAATAACAGGTTTTTCACAACGAATCAAAAAGGTTCAGAAGAACAGAAATAAAGAGGGCACAAATTGTTGTCAGATCACAGATCTGAGAAAGCCAAGAAGAGCCATCTTCTTCCTCCAAGATGCCCTTGAAAAAATAGCAAGTAAATATAAAAAGTAAATGAGCAACCAATTTGACAGAACTCTGGAGGCACAGGTTTTGCATTGCTATTGCTTCCTCTTCCTACTCTAGCCAGCAAATCTGGCAATAATGTATGAAAAGAAAAAAAAACAGAAAGGAAAGGAGACACCTAATGGGAGCTGCATCTCACTTTCATTGGGTGATGGCTGAGAGGTACGTAGTGCTCTCCAAGTCGGTCCTTCTTATGTCAAATCAGTAATTGTGAATGGCACACAGAAATAGAATAAAGATACAGTTGCTCACTGATTATGTCTTCATATCTCTATGAGTTGCAAAGGCTCAGCTCTTTTCAGTGCTAGAACTGCTGATATCAGTGGAGACTCAGTAGTGACCATAACTCAGGACAGCGTCTCACAGGTCTTCTTGAACAGTCAATCTGATCTCACTGTGGGAGAGTACCACAAGCTGAATATGTGAAGAACCCAGTAAAAGGACCAAAACCAGTTACTTGGCAGAAAGAGAAACCTCATTCCTCCCCTACTCCCTTTAATCTGAAAAGTCACCTTGCACACTGCAAGAGCTTTCTCTGTCCAACAAGCAACTTGGCAATCCTGACAAGAACAATTTGACTTTGGATGGAAGTTGGATCTGTGGCAAGCATATAGTTATAAAATAAGTCACGCTTTCCTTCCATTTGAGTGCATGTTCTATTTATGGCACATTCCAGATTATGCAAGGATTCCCAGAACACTGCAGACTCTGGTTCAAAATTATATCTGCAGAGCATGGAGCAGATCAAGAAATATTTTAAAATCCCACTATTAGCAAATTAAGGATCTTGCAGTATTATACCTGCAGAATAGATGAGATAAATGTAAAATATGTCATAAGGCAAAGAAAAGCAGCTAGAATTCATTTTATTTTGCTTGTTATATCATTTTAATAAATTGCATAATAAAAAACAAGCAAAGAATAAAATAGTAATTACGGAAAAAGCTTAAAAGTCAAGATAAATAGTTCATTTGATTGAAAGTGAGACTTCTCTGATGTTTGAGAGACTGGGGATGTTTTAGAGTGTGAACGATTTAGGACAAGACTATTAGACTCCTAAATGCTTTAATGTCAATTTCCTCTCAAAATAAATGTGATAAAATAAAAAGTTTTGCTATCCATTCAGACATGGAATAGGAATTTTCGGTGAAATTTTTTATGTTCTGTGAAGCAAACATCATGAATTTCTTAATGTTTGTGTGGAATGTATTAAATAGTAGAACTCTTTCAGCAGGGCTTAAGCAACTGAAGTGACACATGACAACTTCCAAACCCTTCAGAAAAATAATGTAACAGGAGAATCATGCAAATGCAAAATCCAAACACATATATACTGAATGTATCTCATTTTTCTGTGCAAGTATACTGCAAACCTCTGCATCTATAAAGCATTTCCTGCTATTTATTTCCCCAGAACACTTTAGTCATTCACATAAACTTGAAGTACTTTGTGTGCTTTGAAATAGGACAATTGACAAAGCTTAGCTGAATTTTCAAATAACTGATCACTCCTAAAATGCGAGGCACGGATTTCTGAAAGTCAGGCTCAATAACAGCTATTATGAAAATTTGGCTGAGGTTTGTCAAACGCAAAGATTCCTAATTGTATTACAAACTTTATTAGCACTGAGTCATCACAGGTTTTCACTGAAATGTCTACAGACACAGGTTTAGGTGAAAAGTATTCAAAAATATAAACTAGAGCAATGATTTCCATGCCACTGCAATCCGTCAAACTTTACAATCTTGATCAATATTTAAGAAAATGGATGTATTGACTGGATATCCTGGACTGCTGCAGATAATGAATCAATTTGGAGCTAAGCTATCTGGTTTGCTGGCTGTCTAATCAACCCAAGAAAAAATTGTACTCTTGCTAAATTTTCACAGTTTTCCCCACAATTGCCAAGCCTTATTATAAAGTGAACTCTGCAGTCTAACAGTAAAAACCACCTGTAAATATGCAAAGTCGTAATAAATTGAATTAGCAAGATATCTGGGCTTAGCTGTAAAATTGTGCAAGATATCTTAGATACATTAAAAAGCAGAGTTTATACAACTGGAATTAAAAACCTTACCCTCAAAACTACTTTTCATGCTTGAATTAGAAGCTGGAGCTTAGCAGTGTTTCCTAGCAAAATAACACTGTCACCATCATTAATGAAGTATTGCTGTCTCCATACTTATCAAAGCAGAGTTTCAATCTATTAAAAATATAAAATAAGAGGAGAATGTGGAGGAAAGAAAGGCAAGTACTCCAGCCCCAAATGTAGTGAGACTTCTTTGTAAAGTACTTTTTTTTTTTTTTTTTTTTTTTTTGCTTTGTTTTTAAGTGTATTTTTGTGAAATTTTACTTTAGTAATATCATTTATACTCTTCACATCACTCACATTTTCAGCTCTGAAGCAAAGTTCTCCCATCAGTGCACTATGGAAAGAAGGTGATGTGAGCTGCTCTGTTACCTATCCAATTATTCATCATTAATGGGCTGAGTTGCAATATAAACCTTCATGTGTAACTTTAGAGGCAGAAAGGAGCCAGATTAGACAGTTCTAATTACCCAGGAGTCATCATTTGAGCTTTCTCTTCTCATCCCCTTTCTTTTAAATCAAACCCCCAGTCTCACTCACATGTTGATTTTCTCACATCATCCATGAGATACTGGACTATTTTACCCAAGGTGTGAAGTAGTCTGTTTTTAGCTATCTGTTACAAAGTTAGCAATGTTACTATTCTTATTGGGCACAGTGTGTAAGATGTATTCCCACACTAGGAGAGTATTTAGTAAGGTCACAAGGATGCCCAGTCCTTATCAAACACATTCCCTGGAAACTTGGCAAGGATTTCATTCCATGGGGGCAAAACAATGGCATTGTTTTTAGAATCACTTAAATTTTTCAGTGTTTGTGCAGAAAAGTGTATTACCAGCCTGTAAAAGAAAATTTGTTACCATCAGCATTCCAACTCTAGTTTTTCTTTGAGAAATTGATTTTGTATTCAGTGGAATTGTTTCACATTTATACTAGTACAAATGAAAAAGAAGCAGGCCTTCTTCACACCACTGTCAATTACTTCAGTCTTTTTAATCATTCCTTAAGGAAGAAAACTGAACTTCTAACATAATTTTAAACATAGCCAGAGACAAGCACAAGATGTAAGAACTGGATAAAAACATCTTTCATGTCGGAAAAGGATTTTAAGCAACTCAAAGAATAACAGAAATGTGCATAAACAGAAAGCATAAACAGAAGTGTGACTTGGAAATAGAACTCTGTAGAAAGGAAGAAGGTCGGAGTGCTGTGTCTATCTCTAATAATCACTGAGAAAGAGGGAAGTCCCTCCCCACCTTGTTTTTTGTAATTTTTCTGACATTTTCCTCATAGTCTCAATCCTGTAGAAAGTGAAGCAGAACTCTCTCCATCTTTGCAGAGCTCCCAGATGGTCTATGTAGTAGCAGACTCCAAATTCTGCTGCTAAGATGGACTGAGTAATATAGCCTGAAGAGATGTATTAAATAAGACATACCACAGTGCAAGCAGTGGAAAAAGATGTGGTCTGCAGTGCTCTTCAAGATCAGAGGAAGGTGAGCAGGGAAATGCTTAATTTAAGCATAGCAAATATTTTGAATTACATATTACCTGTATAAATTCTGCTTTCTAGATACATAATTCAGTGTAACATTAACTATCTATTACACATGGAGACCTGCACAACTTTCTCAGCTTCAAAAAAAAATTTGAATTTGAAGCCAGACAATTCATTTATTTTAAATAGGAAAAGGACTAATGCCTATATACCACCATGTACTACATCTGTGTAAATTAGAAATTATGAGTCACCAGGAGTCTTTTTCTGCTCAGATATGTACCATTAGGCCACATGTGCATTATACCAGGCAGCTGTGCTCCAGAAGAACAACTGGCTAGGCTGCCAGCTTGTACTTTGCTCTATCGTTTTGTCTTTACAAGCACACTGGTATGACACCTTGCCATTTGCAGCAAGTTCTGGCCAGGAGACTGCATTTGGATACAGCTCCACTCCAGAAGTGCAGCAAAATAAATTGACTCAGCCTATCAGTTGGAATAAAGTCTTCTAATAAAAGATACCCTTTGTCAGAAGATGACAGGACCACTGAGGACAGCTGCACTTGGGAAACTTGAATTCTGTTCCATCAGAGATTTCTTCAGTGACCTTGAACAAATTAATAGTCTATGCCTTGCTTTGCTGCTTGAAAATATTTGCAGGGCTTCTTAAGGGCAAGATTGCAAAGCCCTCAATTAAAGTGGTACTGAGGACTAGAAAAATGGACAGACACTAACTTTTCTTGGAAATACAAATTTCTACTTCAATCATAAAAAATCCCCAAGTGTACCAGAGTGTGAGCATGAGGGTCAGAAAATGCTGTGATTGCAGAGAGCCTTCAAGCTCTGCACTTAGGTAATGAACATGTCTTCTGACACTTAATCAGCCACTACTGGCTGATAAACAATGAACAGCATCTTGCCCTTCTAGCCTAGAGAAAGGGTCATCACATATAAGGCCTGTGAGTTTTCTGGGAAACACAGAGCTTAGGAAACTACTGCAAGAATTATGTAGTTCTGTAATATAATTATCATTTCTTCTCTAAGATAGAAAGCTCACAGATGGTAACGCACCCTGGTTTTCCTCACATTAGAGTCACAGTGTTCTCTGTGTAACGCTGCTCCTGGAGCTCATGGTTCAGTAGCTTTATGTCTGCCTTGATTGTAAGTGGCATTGTCAACGCTTATTCCAAAAATAAACCCTCCTGACTAATGACACAGATACTCCACAGGCTTAGAATCATCTTTTTATAGCAGCTCTTTGATTCTAGATAGCAAATGTCCACTATTTTTGGCACAGGAGCTCAGAGAAACTTTCATGATCTTTCGCCTACATGACCAGTTTTACACAGTTCAGGTTCTGTGAGAGTGCTCATGGTTTTCATTAAACATAGAGAAATGTTTGTTCTGCTGCATATTTGTACTCACTAGAGAAACAACTGACCTAGAAAGCGGAGACTGTGCTATCACATGAGGTTTTCCACATTGTTGCTGAGATATTAAAGGCTTGTCACTTCAAGAGGTTCTTGAGGGTCTGATGATTTGATGCTCAATGGAACTGAAGAGAAAAAAATTTGCATTGAATTAACTAGAAGTGAAAGGTACCTATGGGATGACGTGCATGTAAGAGGGCTGCTCCGAAAGTAATGCTTTTTGTCTTATTATGTTGCACGTGACATCAGAGGCAGATGTAGGTGGCATGGCATTTGAAGTTGAAACTTCCTACCACTGTTCTGTTACATCTTGTTGCCATGTGACAGATGGCAGCAGAGAGGCAGTCTTACAAAAGAGCATCCGACATGGAAGTGCAGATGAAGCAAAGGTGCTTTTTGGAATTACTCCACATGGAAAAAATTGTACACATTGACATTCATTGACACTTGCTGAACATTTACGGAGACCAAACCATGAATGTGAGCACGGTGAAGAGGGGGGTGGTGTGTTTCAGCAGTAGTGACAGCAACATGAAAGACACAGGCCAGACAGCCATGCACAGCTGTCACACCGTGAAACAAAGAGCATCTCGATCAACTCATCCACATGAATTGCTAATGGCAGTGACTGTGCTGAAAAACAGGTTTTTGTAGCTAAGAATTTCCTCTATCAAACTGTGTTATTGTGCTCTTTATATTTGTTGTAGCTTACATGGAAATAAACAGGAGGCATCGTTTCAGAGCAATCTACAGAATTTCCTCATTTAATGATCTTGATTTAATAACCTGGTTTGTTTATTTTAATAAGAGAATGTGGTGCTAGTGCTGGATGCCAAATTCACTCATTTTTGAACAGAAGTTCACTGTTTATTCACAGGGCAAAGTGAATGCCACTCTTCAAATTTTTTATTTTTTTTTTGTAAGTTGTAATTTTCTTCTAATGCAACTCCACCAGCCATAAACAACAGCAGAAGCTAGTATGTAGGTAAAGCCTGTGTTTTTTTTTTAACCTATATCTGTTTAGTATATCTGGATAACAGAATAGTAACATTTTGACAGTGCTACCTGATTCAGCCATTGCTGTCAGTGTTCCAGTGAATAACATTTCTGTTGTTCACTGCTGTAGTCAGACACAAATCTCAAGGAAATATGTATTGCTACTAAATGTTCTGTAGTTTAAAAAATGCTTACCAGATTAGACCTAGTTCTACAACAGTGAGTACAGAACTTGGAAAGTAATAATGTTCTGATCCTTGTATAGGATAACACTACTAGTAAGATTTTTTAAGCAAGGATTACCATTTTCATGATAACAGTATCATTTGCAGCCAACTAAACACTAGTCCAGACTATCAAATCAACTTTTACTTAAGAAAATGTAATATTATAAAGTGGAACAAGTAGACACTTCAGAATCACAGCTTTAGAATGAGAGAGGCCATGGCTGAAATACTGTTTTGGATCTCAGTTCCCCTCACTCTTAAGAATCAAATGGAAAGCCACAGAGAGAGTAGGGACCTTGAACATATAATATGTGAGAAGGAGGTTTGTTTAGCCTGGAGAAAGGAAGGCCAGGGAATGTAGGTGTTCTCTTCTGCTACCTGAAGTTAGGGCTTACACAAAAGACATGACAGCACTGGTCTGTTCTCAAAGGGGCACCACAGAAGCACAAAACAGCACAAAAACAGTCACAAGATGCAACAGGGGAAAGGCATAAGGAAAATGTTGTTCACAACAAGAGTGATTAAGCACATGTAACAGATAACAGAAAGAAGATTGAAAACCTCCAAGGTTGGAGGCCATAAACCCAGGAAGACTCACATAAGCAAATAGGTACAATTATTACTTTGAGATAAAGCTAGTGGATGGCTGACTTCATTTCCAACAAATATCTCTTTGAATTGTGGCAGAAGTTATTTGTTTTATAAGGTTTTACATTAACATTCTGTCAATTCTATGGGATTGAAAATTTGTTTTCAGCTTGCCTCCAAACTTCACTGTAATTCTAGTTGCTGATACGGTTTAACATTTGTAAATGTCTGCAGTTAGAACATCTGTAGTCCTTGCACTTGCCACTATACAGAACAAAGACTGCAATTCATGTATGTTATCCAGGCAGGCAATTGAAGGGAAGGTAAGAAAGCACAGAGATCCATGATTAATCATCAGAAAATCAGAAACAGATTCTCATCTGTCAGTAAAGCTTTTTTTCCATTGGAGTTCCTTGCTCATTTCCCTTTCTGATAATTAACAATCACTCTATGTAACAAACAAGGGGAAAAAAAAAAAAATCAGTATAATGGGCACTCTTACCAATATGAAATAATTTTTGAAGTTGATTACACAGTAAACCAGTGAATAGGACCCTGTTTCTTTTGTAAATAAATATGGACCTAAATACCAATGCATTAAGGCTGCTTAAGGCTGAAAGTAGGTTGATTCCAAGCTGCCCTATTTTAGCAGGATAGACTCAAGGTATATACTTTAAGACTCCTGAATGCAATTCATTTCACAATTACTTTGAAAGGATTGAGAATCTGTCAAGATTAGATTCCAAGCCTGGTCATCAAATTGTTGCAGCTGAACACAGCGTTGGATATAACTGTTTATTTTTGTTGCTCATTAACGTTAATATGCACTGGTCATTAAGATGAAATTCAATCCTCTAGACTTTCCCCTTAAGGCATGCTGTCCAATTATGACTGTTAATCCAACTAGTAAACTGTTCTCCCTCTGTATGTAATCTCCCCCTCCTTTTAGCATTTGACCATTTCAAACACTCAGAGACTATAACCTCCCATGGAAAGCTTGTCCTCTGAATAGTATAAAGAAAAGAATGTAAGAAAACTGAAGGATGGAAAACTTGTTACCATTGCTGGATAATTCAGTGGGAAAAAAAAATGTTTTCTTTCTAAACACTGTTACACAGTGTATGTATGTCTACATTCTTAAGCTTTGGGAGATTCCTACTTCACCTTTGTCAGATCTCTACAATCACATCTGTTGACAAGGATCAACCTATGGAAAAGTATGTTATCTTGCACTCTGTTTGTCAGGAGGTGCTTCATTTGGAGAAAAAAACAAAACAAAAACAGAAAGCAGACTCAACTAAAATTAATAGAGAATCATAACATATATTTTCAACCTGAATACGGGCAACAGAAAAATTCTCAGTAAAACAATGAGCTGTTTTGCAGCAGGGTAAAGCATAAGGAAGTTTTCTTCCTTTAGCTTAGATTTTTAAATTCTGCTAGTTGTCAGTAAAAATACTTAAATACTGCTAAACATTAAAGCTGTAGTAAAATGACTCACAACCTTGTCTTACAGCAATGCCATCAAACCTGGATAAGGAAATATGATGCATTTTCTTTTTTCTTTTGTGCAAACACTTCACAAAGATTAATTCACATGCACAGAGAGACTCCAAGGTGAGGATATGCCTTCTCTTTATAAAGATAGACGGTGCAGATCTCCTTCAGCAAGCTGTGATTCAGAACCAAAATGAAGCAGCCATATAGCACAACACTGTACAAGAGGTGCCGCTAACAGTTTTTTAACTAAGCAGAAGCATTGCACCTCAGTAACTGCTTGCTGTCTTTGGAGTCCAGGCAGGTAACTCTGATCCTGTGTCATACTGAAGTTAGCTTCAGGTATTTAGCAAAGATGCTGTATCCCACTATGCACTATTTTTCAGTAAAGAACTGTTTCAGGAAGACACACAAAGCTACTGCAAAACAGCAAGCAGACCAAATTCACTTGCAGTAATTTGACTTGTAAACAAATTCTAGTTCAGACTACTACTCATCTTACTATTGCCATATCAACTTACGTGCCCACTTTAAAGGATGACAGTTATAACTTACCATGGAGAACTTTCTGATACATTACAAATACCCATGTCAAGTTCCTGACTACGTTACATTGGTGTGAATTCAGAGACTCCAATGGGATAAGAATTCCTCCAGAATAATCCCCAAGCAAGAAGTCTAAATCTCAATTCTCTTCTTTTTCTACTGGCTTGGTTGCCTTTTTTTAACCAGAAACAACACTTATATGTCTTAAATACACAAGGTTCATGATTACGCTACTCAGACTGAGTCAGACAAGGTAAATGACAAGGCCGGAACAATGCACAGCAGATTGCCAGATAGAAGTGAGTGATTCTGTATTTTCTTCATTTGGAATAGGCTCCAAACAGCTCCAAAAAAGGTGAATGTCAGTATGCAAGCAATAGACAACTCATAATTCTCATCTGAAATCACCTTGCAATTTAGACTTCTTTTTAAAAAGGCAATAACTATCAATTATAGAGACCACAGAACAATATTAGACCGTGCTTTTTATAGCTAAGTGCTATCAGTTTATTTCCAAGACTTAAAACCTTGTGTCATGGGTGAGCATCGCTGTCAAATACAGCCTTTAGGTAGGCTTTTCCTATCCCCAGTTTGAGGTAGAAATGAGAACTCTGCTGATGGCAGGCCAGATGGTTGATAAAATACAGACCTAACACTGAATCAAATGCTCTACAGTCCCAATATATACAATGGACAGAGAGAAGGATGCTTGTCTAATTAATACTTGGCAAGCAAGAGTCAGATAAATAATTACCTGGCAGTTTACTGAGACCTGAAAAGTTCTTGTGATCTGTGTAACAGATTCTTAAATCCTAAGCCAGCTGCCAGTCAGTCTGGGGGATTTCTCTAGACAAAGTCACATGTACTCACACTTCTTCAAAGATGCATTTATTCCCAGGTGTTATCCTTCCTGTCTTTGGTTAACATCCCTGAGAACCAATTCTACCTACTATTGACACTGCTCCTTCTTCTATTCATCCAAACTATTCTGTTTCCTATACATACTTGGAAGAAAACATAAAATCCAAATATGACAAGTGACTGCTAAGTATCCATCCTCTGCTTAAGTGGAACTGCAAAAAAGAAGAATACAAAAAAGAAGAAGAAGAATAGTTCTTGTTCCTAGAATGTTTTGTGTTCATTCCTAAGAATCATTTCTTTGAAATTACAGGAAGAGCTTTCTGCTCAGGCAGGGCAGAGCAAATCTGTCTGTGACCAGGACAAATCTGTTCTCAAATAATTTCTTTCAATTACCATTGGCACAAACTCCATTAGTCCATAATACACAGTAACTTTTGCAAAGTTGCTAACACCTTATTCAGTTGTCTCAGTCTCTGAAATAGATATGGTATGGGAGAACTATTATACAGTTATTGCTTACCAAAGAGAACCTGAAAGCTAAACAAACCATCCTGGAACAAACTACATTAAAAATACTCAGCATCAGATTTCCTTCTATCATTTTCTTATTCCGAATAAAAGCATCCCTGAAGAATAGTTTCTTTAAGCATGAGACTGCACCAGAGAACATTCAGCATCTGATACCATCAGTCAGCTCTCCCAGCCATGTGTTAGACTCCTGAAATTCTCAGGCAATTCCATCAAATGTGCAATAGCACTGAAAGAAAAAAAAGAGTGAAAGAATGAAAAGCATTTACCATGAAGTTGCTAAGACAAAATGGCCTCTATCTACTGACCATTCATAAAGGGATTTGAAAGGAGCAAGCTTACAATAAGGAATGATGCAAACTTACATTACACATGAAGTGGGTTTCAAATCCATGATATGACATCAGTATAAATTTTCTTTCCAAGGTGAAATGAAATGAGCATGTTCTTCAAAGGCTGATAGCACTGTTCAGTCTGAATCAGTCTCCTCAAGTTACAGGCTGTGATGCTGTTATACAATGAAAAGATTTAGTCTTCCCTGTTGCGCGTGTGTTTACTAAATGTATCACAATGTATCTGACGTTGCTTAAAGGCTGTATGTACCTCATCAGTGCCACTTTTTGCTGAAATAAGCACTTGCAGTTCCTAGGCATTTAGGAAGCATAATATTTCCACCAGCCTCCCATTTGTTACATTGCAGAGGAAGGGTTAAAGATTCTAAACACACTTAACACAAATTAAGAATCTAAAAATCAACACTGGGAGAAAAAAAAAATCAAATGAAAAATCTGGCCACATCACACGTGTTGTGGTATTAAATAGCTGTTCCAAAACAGTTACTATGTACCTTCCATGAAGACCATCTCCTCAAGAAACAAAACAATAAAATCCAAATGAAAGCATAAAGAATCAGTCATTTTCATGTTGAAAGGAAAGAGAGAGTGTTTGTTATGTTCTGAAAACTTCCCAGTAAGGTCTGAACAGAATCTGAACAAGAGGAGAAATCAAGATGAAAATAAGCAGAACTGTTTTGAAATGAGTTGAAGATGGTAAGCAGGTAATCAAGATTCTGGACAGAACTAATTTTAGTTTAAGGAGCAGAATGATAACAGCAGCAAGGTTAGAGACCCTAATACCACCATTTTCTCTGGAAATGTTCCATATACCAATGCTTGAGCTGACACTTCAGGCAAGCCTGGAAGCTGAATGATAAGAAAGAAAGGTGAAAGTAGCACAGGAAACTCAACACTGATACTAACAGAAAATAATGAAGGGAGATGAGGACTGACAGCAAATGACAGAAGACAAATACTACTGGAGCTGAGGTCATGGAAACAGAAGCAGGATGTGAAGGAGTACACTAATGAGCCATGGTCTCCTGAGTGAGACCAAATCAGCAAGAAATCTTTTCTGGTTAGCTGGGAAATCTGAGCTCAGAATGCAGAGAGAGTGAAGACATCAGAAAACATTCAGCAGTTACATCAGGTGGGTCACTAACGTGCAAGTTTAAAAAAAGAAGTGGAAACCACAGAGGATGAGGGAGTTGGAAATCAAAAGGAGGGGAAACAGTTAAGTGGAAAGAACATAACAATAGCACAGATGAAGTAAAGAGAAAAAGAGAAGAGCTGGATATGAGTGCAATGTAAATGGAAGAGAAGCTGAAATTCCTTATTACCATCTAATCTGTGATGACTAACAGAAATCAAGAAGAGGCCTCCATAAATGAGAGAGCCTCCAGGTGCTCCAAGACGCAGACTTCCAGAGACTGTGGAGGTGCCTTCTGAGCTCCACCAGGCAGCCCAGACTCCTCCCAGAGCTCTGTGGCTGCCTCAAAGGCATGACAGTGCCCCAAAGGCAATATCACACACAAAGGAACGCAGGTCTCAGAGATCACAAATACCACAATCCTTGGCTTGGAGAAAAGGCAGGGTACTGCGAGAGGAATAGAGTACAGCTTACTGGAATTAGAAGTTTAAGAACTGGGAAGAAAGACGCCTCGCCACTCACAGCCAACAACAAAGAAACGGAGGAGCCTAGACATCTGGCTTTAACTAGCAAAGAGGCAGAAAGTGGTGTTCAAACACCAACAACAACAAAAAATAAATAAATAAATAAATAAATAATCAGTATTTTGATGGTAGAAATGCATGAAAATCACTTAATACATCAGAATATGTAGCCTGCATACCTAAATAATATTCTATTTCATCTGAACCATTCCTAGGTAAGCCATTTAAATTCAAACAGAGCTGGTGCATGCACAGAATAGCCTTTTCATGGAAAATTAAGGCTTTTCATTCCTTTCTAGAGAATAGAAATGAATTGTAAGGTTTATTTCCTGTAGCATTTTATTACCTACAAATATTCAAATTTCTACCCTAGAAAATCCAAGTGTGACTGTGAGGCTATGAAATATGTAGATATTATATATTTTATAGCCAACATAAAATTATTTATTTTTGTGAAAGTTCACGTTCTATACTCTACTGAAAATATCATACATGCTTTGAAACTTCAAACAAAAACAGAAGAAATACAACAACAACAACAAAAAACCCAGTCTTTTCATAAAGAAAAAATGACCACTTCAAATTCCTTTCAAATAGAAATTGTTCCTCACTCTTGCTTGGCAGGTAATAGATTTTACAGACAAGTCATAAATGCTCCAAATACACATCAATAATATAAATAATTACACTGTCTTTATAAACCAGTGAACAACTATAGTGCAAGATAAAAATCTATTTCCACTATAATCAGCAATGAATCAGACGCCTACTAATGAATAAAGGTTGTGAATCACAACCTTTAGAAGATCTAAGACCACAAAATACTACAGCTTCCTAAAAATTTGCCCAGAAGCTTGTCTGTGTTAACAGTGGTATGACCAGAGAGAGTTAACAAATAACTTGAGTTTGGGTTCACTGAGCTAGCCTGGGTACATCTGACGTGCACCAGTTGTTTTGGTATGGATTTGAAATCCAGTACACATGGGGTCAGCCAACTCCTAAGGACACATTTTCACAGTATACTGGGAAACTACCATGCTCCGACTTAGAAAATACAGTGCCATACACTTTAAAAAGATAACTTCAGAAAGCAAAAGAGCATGATTTAATACAAAACACTTTTAAGTAATTTCTTATTTTATCTGAAACAATTCACTCATCCATCAGTATCCAATTAAATCTGGTATGAGTCAGATTGTAATATTGGGTGCTGATGACTAATAAGGCAAGTCAACATCTATACATAGAACTACTCAGTGATGATACAGCAATTGGCAACTTCAATTAGGGACAGTGACCATGTTTGTTTGTTTTAGTTTGTTTCTTTTGCTTTGAGTTTTTGAAGAAATGATAGAAATTGTAGTAAGACAAATAAGAGGAGGATACAGAGGTCTTTGAACCTTGGTCTCCCTTACTGTGACTTCTAAATGCACTAGTTACATCTTTTAATAGATCTATATAGGTCACTCAGAAATAAGAGGCATTGCTTTCAATTTATTCCCAAAATTACAATGGATACGAAGAGCATAGAAAGACTGTTTGATAGAGCAAATTCTCAAATGTTTTTCAACATAGTCACAACAATTAGCTGTGCATTTTCACCAGTGATGAACAGCGGCCTGCATGATGTGCTCAGAAAAATCTGCATCAGTGGAGGTGACCCACTGTCACTGCCACCACTGGTGAAATGCATCACCACTGCCTCATGTGCTCATATCCACTGTTAGGTCTTCACAAACATTCAGCAAGCATCCATGAATGTTAATGAGTCCAATTTTTTCTGCATGGAGGAATTTAATGACACATCTTTGCTTCATATGCACTTCCACGTTGGATGCCAATTTCTCAGACTGCCCCTCTGCTGCCATCTGCCACACAGCAACAAAATGTAACGGGATACTGGGGGTAAGGTTCAGCCTCTACTGCCTTACTTCCAACATCTGTCTCTGAGTTCATGGGCCACAAAATGCTTTGTCAAAGAAATATTCTTACATCAGAAATTTCCTGTAAATTGGGAAGTGAAAAAGATAGTTTTAAAATATTAGCACAAAAAAAAAAATCAGGAGGAAAGAATGACATCAGTTAGAAGTTGTATGTATCAACAACTGAATTAAACAGTAGAAAAAAGGCAGAATTAATGCACATCTTTTTAATTGAGTAGAATAAGAACATGACTTCTCAGTTGTTTGTTTGTTTTTTTTTTAATTACTTTTCTCACATATGAGAAAATAAAAAGGCTTCTTACAATCACCTGTTATATGTAATGCCTCGCAGAGACCACACACACTGTGAGTTAAGATTCAGCCTTGTCTTCATGTCCACCAACTGGCTTCTATCCAGGCCACCACTTCACGTTATGGTCCCATCCATGACAGTAATACTGTGCTATAGATAGTTGCTTCAGAGAAATGTATCTGAAACCTAGCAGGCAGAGAAAAGGATGTGCACACAGATTCAAGACATGGTTCAGCTATGGTTTGCTAGCCAAGAAAATGTTTCTCTTTTAGTGGAGCCAGTTGATAGGGCAAAGTGCTGAATGAGTGCTGTCTAGCCCTGCACTCGCTCAGATCTCTACAGTGAACTGCACACTCTACACCAAGTCTCATTTTTTCTACTTTTAATTACTGAAACTATACTGACAGTCTGCTGCTGCTCAAAGTCCACATCCCATACCTGCATATCATAACTTCTCATATGCACAGGACCCCTCTTTAAATATAATCATTTAAAACGCATGTTGTAAATAATGAGTTTCATCTACGAACCTTTCATTATAAACACGTCCAACAGATGAACTTGTCTGCCTTGTATGCAGTAAGAAAGCTGAAGTGAAGATGTGCTAAGAATACAGCATAAGCAGTGAGACAGTACTATTCCTAAATAGCAAATGTACATAACCTAAAAAAGTAGCCTACAGTTCCTCTTCAGTTACTTACTGTGTCTCAAGACAATAGGGTCTCTCTCTGCATAGTCACTATACTTTGTTTCTCACTGGGGAAAGAGGAAGTAAAGAAATAAATTAGTTTTGTTATCATGAAATAATATCCTGACTTAATTAATTAATTATTCAGCCACATTTGAAGTCACCCAGCATGGGAAGAGTTAGGACAGAGTCTTCATGCAAGCCCTAGCACCAGACTTTCAACTTCTGGCAAGCACTATGTGCCAGACACATTCAACACAAAACTTGTGCACAGATCCTCACATTGTCCCCAGAGGACATACTTCTAGGCTGATGCAATAAGCCTTTAGTCTTCCATGAGACTAGATAGTTCAGAGGATTAATATATTTTCCATTAGTAATCCTCCTTGAGATGCTGAAATAGAATCACTTCTCCATAAATTTGCCTTACCACTTCACTACCTAGCATTGCTAGAGGAGACATCTCTGTCTCTTACATATGAGGAAGATAAGCAGGGCTATTTTGTTACAGGATTTTGATTTCATGCAAGCCTCACCTGAAGAAGACAACTCAAAATACCAGAAAATAACCCACTGTATACATACTTCTTTGTAATATCAATGCTGTTTTTTTTTCTCCTCTTATTCTAATATATACTACCTTGAATCTCTTTTCTCTTTCTATCACCCTAAATAGTAACATACTAATAGTCCATTCACAGCATTACCCTTTAGAATCTATTTTGAGATTTGCTTGTATTTCATCAGCTCAAAATTCCTGTGTATTAGATCAGATTTTTCCAGTGAAGATGCTAATGAGGTAGAATTTCTCATTTTGGTGCCCCTTAAGTTCTATTTATAGAATCCTTTCCAACAATGAATTCTGTTCATAAAACAAGGCCTGACTGCACTCAGAAATAAGTTACAATGAGCCCTGTCAGCAAATATTAGATAAAGGTAGTGCTGAAAGAGAGAAATGAACACTTCACATTCATTTATGATTTATGAGTTCAGAGTTGAAATGGAAGCTGCACATAATAATGAACAATGGAAATACCTTGTTTGGCGAGGATGAATTGAAACCTTCAGCTTGAATAAGCTATCAATAGATTATTGATCTAAGCCATTACTGCTAAAAGTAAGTTTAAAAACCAATGATAAAAATACACTATCAGCTACTAGTTAAAATTCTCTTTCATCACCATTAGGATATAAATCTATAATCCCTGGAGTCATGAGTACTGCACATCTACAGCTGCATCTCCTCTGCAAAGTGAATGCATGCATATATAGAAGTTTCAGACTCTTACCCGTTTCAAGGAGAGGTCAATTGACTCTGGACAATATCCCAGGATCTTAGGGCAGTAAACCTCCATGTGATCACAAGAGAGCACAACAGTGCATTTTCCACTCCATGACAGAGAATTAATTTTTTATTATTAAAAAGGTAGCCATATGTGTTTTTAGTACAATACTGGCATCTTGAAATGACGAAAATAAAGAGCTGGTCCACTTGCTGTATGTATGAGGTTGGTTCCTATTGCTTCAGTTAAAAAGCAGAACTTGGCAATTTCTAGTTTCTTCAAAAACGTCCAGCAAAGCAATAGAAAAATCTTCACACCAAGCTGAAAAGAAATCTATTGCATCTGTAAAGTTTTTGAACTTCTTGAGCAAAAGAAATTTCAGAGGAGTTTGTTCTCATCAGCACTATGAATAAAACACGAGTTGGCATAGAAATATTTATTACTAGCATTCACCCAAAAACAATAGAATGCCTCTAAAAGCCTGAATGGAAAAAAAAATTAAAAATTAACTAGGACTACAGGAAAGGAAATGCTGATAATTGAGGACACCTACTTTTATGTCACATGACTGGAAAACCACACACACAAGTTAAAATGTAATTGAACTCCATTCTTTTTTTAACATAGTTGTAAAAGGGGAGATACATGGCATTGTTTTTGCAGTTTCTGCAGAGGTCCTCTGCTCTTTTCTGTGTAATGTCACAAAAGAAACTTTCAGAATACTGACTAGTATAATCCTATATAATCCACAGCCAAACATTTCAAAGACAGGAGAACTTAGTTTAAACAAAGTCACAATAAAAATAAATTTTTTCTGCAGTGTTAGGTAGCTTTTCAGGGTCTTCAGGAAATATACTCAACTATTTTCATAGTTAAGTAAAAACTGCAAATATCTTTAATTCAAAATGAGAATTTACAGAGGATTTCCCAAAAGACCACAGAAAATCATTGGCAAACAGCAAGTTTCTTTAATGCATTAAAACATCACTTAGGGATGGATGCATAGCTTTTATGTGCTTAACACAGTCTTGCCAAAAAAATTAACTCTGTTTTTACTTTGTTTAAATTAATAAATTGCAACATAAGCCCCATCCCTATTAGATTTTGATTTTGATGTACATCCTCTGGAAACTTATCCAATTACTCAATTTCATTCTTAATAGAAAAAGCACAAAAAAAGATCTGATTAGCACATAAATCAAATGGTTTTGAGATCAGAATCTGACCCAAGTCTAAGTATAGAGCTATTCCACAGAGGATCAACACTAATCCAAACACAGCAGCCTTGTTCTGCTCCAATTCCACCCATCATTTTAATCTTTCAGTTGAGTTGCCAATATTGTCTGAATTACTTTACTTCCATGGTAAGCGATGAGAAACAGAGGCTCAAATCTATCTCAGACTGAAGACTGGCATTAAACAGAAGGTAAAGTAAGCCTGCAAGGACAGTCCATCTCTTACCTGTCACGACACAGAAGACAAAGCAATTATCTGTATCACCAAGTACTTCAGATCTTTGATACATGCTGTACTACACTGCATTGCTGTAAAGCAGCCAAACAGTTGAAAGAGCTTTTATTTTGCTGCTCGCAGCATCACTTCAGTGTGTACCAGGCAGAAAGCATGGCTTAGAATTTCCTCCCCTACTATGTGTGGAGGAAAGACATCACCCTTTATGTTGGTGGAAGAGAAAGCTGTGTTGCCTCTAAAGTATTTGCCCACAACAAGAAAAGGAACTAATCTCTGTGAAGTAATGAAAAGAAAGCAAGGGTGGAGAGAGCAACAGCAAGAATACATAAGAGATGCAAGCTTCAATAGCTACAGCAGCATCCAGTGCAGGTACATATGTCCAGAAGAAATGCAGTTAATATTTAATGTAACACCTATCTATTCCTCAAGCCTTCATTTTTTCCAGAATTCCAGCTGACACTGAGAATGAACAGAAGGATCAAAATGTCTCCATGAACACCAAGACACCGAGATATAAGAGTAGACCTCCATCATCTCAAAGAAGCAAGGCTTGTTTCTCTTTAATTTCCAAAACAGAATTCCTTGCAAAAGCTAACATACTAAGCCACAGCATAGCCATGGGGCAGCTGTGAACATCTGCAGCATACAAGCTGCATGACAGCACGAGTGGGGCAGACAGGTAACAGTTCAGCAAACAGTTCTTCAGCTGAAGCAATTTTTCTTTCTTCAGCAATTGAAGACCTGAGGAAGGAGGCTTCATTTTCTTGCATCAAGCAATGGCAAGACAAGGAAATTGTTTTCTCTGAAGTTTAATCACTTTGGTTACTTGAGCCATTACAAACAAACAAAAAACTGAAGTTAATCAAACCCTTGCTTAGATTACCCAGTTCTGAGGAGTTTTGTTAGCAGCACCCAAATTTCTTTTGTTAGGGACCATACCTAAAAGCAAAAACATATTAAAGTCATCAGAATAACATAGCTCTCCTGCAAAGCACAACTGACATCTTCTGGCCAACCTTGGTTTTACTGGTTGGTAATCAAACACTTCATTGAGTTATAGCAATCAAATTGAAATTGTTTTTGTTAAATAAAAACACCTCCAAACTCTGGAGCATGAAGTCATGATTTAAGAGCCACTCCACAGCAACAAGAGCCATTTCAGAGAGCATAAAGCAGAGCACACTGAACAAAGCAGAATAGAGAATATCAAAGGTTCTGCTGTCAGAGCTCACCCATCAGCTGGCAGTAGTTTCCAATACCTACAACACGTTTCCACAGCTAGCATCTTTTGGCTGGTGTGAGAGAAGTTTGCAGTCAGTCTGAGCTAACTAGCGCGCTCTGCTTGCTCACTTGTTTGCCGACTGTGTTTCCAGCACCTTTAAGCCTTGCTCATTGACATTCCTCCCCTGCCCCCATCCCCCATTCTTTCTAATTCAGAAAAATAACTACAAGGTTAAAAAAAAAAAAAAAAAAAAAAAAAAAAAAAAAATCCCCTTTAAGAAATGCCCAGTTTAAAAGTTTATTTCCTTAATCCAAATAGAAACCAAAACAATGCTTCCTTTCCACAACTGCTCCACTCTCATTCATCTTTTTCCTTCAAGTTGTTAAAAGAACCTCAAGGCAAAGCATTCTGAGGGGCTCCATTCAAAAGGCATTACTACTTGCCCACCAGCTGAACTGCTACACGTACTCCAGTGTGTACCAGATTAAGAAACCTTTTCTAGAACAAAAGTTTTTTTGTTAATTTAGCATTCAGTGTTTGCAATTGTAATACTGAATTACATCCAGTCATGCACAGTCAAAAGCACAAGCATTTAATAAGAAACTGAAAATTATTTTAAGAACAGATGAATTAGATGCAAAAAAAGGAAAAAAAAAAATCATTGCTAAGTTTCACTTGGAGAAAAGAAAGTATATGAAAAGCTCCAAACCGACAACTACTAAGAGCTTATGCATAAGATCTCATCTGCTTAAAACTTCACTTAAAACTTCAAAATGAAAATTGAATACTTTTTCATCTGTAGAAGTGTAGAAGGATAACGCATTAAGTGAAGTTAAACAAAAAAAGTTATTTGCATCTTCTCTGCCACATCCACAGAGGTTCTCACACAGCAAAACAGCAGAGATAGCCAGTATGCATTTTTGCTCAGGCTCAAAGAAGCCAAATTCGAACAGATGCCCAGATGTTTGATAGCACAGAGATCTGGCAGGGGCCAAAGGGCCATAATGTTGCTGAACAGCAGCTAACTAACACAATAAGAAATAAGACTCTCTCTTACCTGGCTGATAACTGCAGAGATCTGACAGTAGCTGCTTGAACTGGCCCTCCAAGATAGACAAGGATTTAGTAAATACCAAGCATTTCATATGACAATTATACTTATTTGGAGGTTAACTTCTCAGCAACAAACACAAAGAAAAAACACCTCTTGTTCATTTCAAATCATGGTTTGTAGCCTTAAGACCAACACATCCCTCAGATACTTTTCTGCTTTCTCTGCTAGGGCATCACAGTAGTGAAGATTGCATAGAAACAGCATGCAGCAACAGCGTGATACTGACAAAACAGCAAGACGTTAACAGTTCTACTTTCAGCTCCACTCAGTAGAATTCCAGTGCCAAATAGTCTTTGACTAAAATACCAAATGTGTGTATATACATACTAATATACACATATGCTCAAAGTTCGAACAGCCTACCTTACCCTTATTTTCTTTTCATCCTGCAAAAAGTCAAGACAATTAGAATGAATGGAAACAAAGTTAAACCTGAAACCTAAGTACATGAACACTCACCAGTGTGCTGGAATTCAACAACTTTCTGTGTTTGTGTAGATGTCACGCTTGTGATCTGCTACAGCACACACAGAGCTTTACCCACGAGTGAACACACGTATGAGAGCCTATGAAAGATGTAATTTTTTTCATAGACAGTGAAATTCACCAAAGCACAGACAGGCTGTTCCGGTCAAGGAACCCTCTGCTGACTGGTTAATTTAATGGAACCTCAATGGTACCAAGATGCCATTGTGTATTAACAACAGTTTACATTGTGAGAGTACAGCATCGGTACAAGCTTCTAAGGAAAATAATGGAGCCTATTCAAACTACTTATTTTTATCTGAGCCTGAATATTTACCTTCTCTGCACAGGAATCTAGTGTATTTTCCTGTGAGCATTCAGCAGAAAGAATGCCAGGTTCTGATAAAGTAACCACAACATTAAATCTTCCATACATTTAATAAAAAGCACTTTAAACTTCAAGTGTGACATAAATATTTTTATTTACAAAAACAGTGATTTTCCCCAATTTACAAAGAAGTTACAAAAAATCTCAAATATATTATGAAGGCCTGAATAGTTGGATACTAATAACCATAATCATTCAGGAACAAGGAATAAGAGTTTTCAACAAAAAACAAAGTGGCAAAATTGTACTTCAACTCAAGGTTTAAATATTAGAAAAGAATGTGTGTTAGTATTTACATCCACGCTTAATCTCAGGTGTGTTACCTCCATGGCAGAATACCCACCTGGGACACCAGATCTTGAGAAACATAATTTAGTTGAACATTTTCGACTACGGCTTCTTTAGCTAGTCACAGTATTTAAAAAACCACACTCCAAACACAATGGATTCTGCAGGACTTGCACCTAAATGTGCTTTCAAGTCCTCACATCGGGGTGCTTGAACAAGTACATTAAGGCATTAAGTTATTAAACAACATTGACTCTGCAAGTCACAAAATACAACGTCTATTAATATCTATTAGCTGTGTTTGCACTTAGAAATGAAGATGTATGTGATATAATTCAAACTGATTATTATTTTCTTTACATATCAGGACATATTGTTGTCATTAGCCCGTAACAAACTCCATGGAACGTACAGTTCAATCTCCAATTTGTTTCTTTACGAAAACAAACTGGTTTAATTTATCCTTTTCCACTCTAGGATAATTATGATGCTGTGTGTCAAACTGAGCAAAACCAAGGAGAAATTAGAAGCAGTACTCTTCTGACTGTGAAATGGATTCCCTAAAACAATCATTATTGACTAGCAGCTGCAATTACAACAACCTGTATAAGAGCATATTTATGAGTAACACACAGAAAGAGTCGTCGTAGCACTCTATCAAGGACAAGGCAGATTTCATCTCTGGCTCTACTTGAGAAAAAAGCAGAACAGCCTATTTCTGCACCCTTTATACTAGGAGCCCTGCTGTACATTACAAATTTGCTAGATAACCTACATAAGAATTGTATCACTTGATACCAGCTCTAATGTAGTTTGGTTTAGGCTCTTTGTTCCTCTGGCCACACTGTTAAGTAATTTTTTTATTAAGAGGTAGTCTAGTAACATATGCTTTTACACCTAAAAATCAAAGCAATGAAGCATGTAAGTATTGACCAGATATTTTCAGAGCAAATGGAACAGCTCAACGCCAAAGATGTTCAGGAACACTGTTTAATGATGCCCCTCCACATCCAATTGCCTTGCAGGTAGGCTCAATCTTTTCTCAGGTTAACTCATAGCCTGACTATCGTTGTTTGTTTTTTTTCTGGTATACAACATTTTTGTCTCATAGTTCCAGCCTCAGGAAGTGGGTGTATTTTGAATTACTGAACCCAAGTGACAAGAATTTCAGCATCCTCTGTGAGATGCTGCATGAACCCGAAGCTCTCCAGCAGTCCCTAATGCCAAAAACCTAAATCTCAGATGTCTCATCCCAATCCTGTTTTGCTGGTACCATATGGTGCTCGTTCCATTCAAAAGGCATTACTACTTGCCCACCAGCTGAACTGCTACACATACTCCAGTGTGTACCAGATTAAGAAACCTTTTCTAGAACAAAAGTTTTTTTGTTAATTTAGCATTCAGTGTTTGCAATTGTAATACTGAATTACATCCAGTCATGCACAGTCAGAAGCACAAGCATTTAATAAGAAACTGAAAATTATTTTAAGAACAGATGAATTAGATGCAAAAAAAGGAAAAAAAAAATCATTGCTAAGTTTCACTTGGAGAAAAGAAAGTATATGAAAAGCTCCAAACCGACAACTACTAAGAGCTTATGCATAAGATCTCATCTGCTTAAAACTTCACAACAAAAACTAAAGTACTTTCTCATCTGTAAAAGTGCAGAAAGATAATACTTAAGTGAAATTAAAATGTTATTTGCATCTTCTCTGCCACATCCACACAGGTTCTCACACAGCAAAACAGCAGCAAATAGCCAGTACACATTCTTGCTGCCAACTAATGTGCATAAGCAAGAAAAAGAGCCACAGGAGAATACCATATGTGAAATGTAAGCACAGTTCATTTGCAAGCTTTGGATAACCACCCTAGAAAACAGTATTAAACTGTTTTAAAATGCATGGAAGTATACATTCAGAGACTAGAATATACATTCATTAAAGAAAATATCTGTAGCTATAATAACAAGCTGATGTTCAAAGACAAAATTAAAGATTTTAGTGAAATAACAGCACTTCTGTACTCCAAGTCAAATTTGAAGACAAAGGTGTTGTGTGCTGTCGTACTTACCTTTAGATGCACTTTTTATCTTCCGAGTCTGTCAAACCTCACTGAAATTACAGTTGGAGTTCATATGCAGCATCTCATAGATCTATACTTAATACAAAATATTTATTCTCTAAGCAATAGATGAATGAATGCTTGAATTTCAAATGTTAATTCCTGAGCAGGGGACCACTGAGTCCCTTGTGTGCATTTGAGCCACATGCTGTCATAGAAATCCACACACAATTAAGAAAATGTGCATTCACACTTACATCACTGTTGAAGAAAATACAGTTTTGTTTCTTAGC